CTGCTTCTCCACAGAGCAGTTCATCAAGTGTGGCACATGAAGTTGTTGGGGATGAGTCACAAGAGGTCATTCGCAATAAATCAATTAGTACAAGACCTTCAAAGTGCAAAAACACTGAAATATGTAACTTTAACCTTGTGAAACCTGCCCGGTGGCACCAGTGTCCGGCAGTCTCGCCTCTGTCAGTGCGCCCCAGGGTGGCTGTGGCTACACTGTAGCTGCCATCACCAGTGTGTGAATGTGTGTGTGAACGTGTGGATGACTGGACGTGTAAAGCGCTTTGGGGTCCTTAGGGACTAGTAAAGTGCTATACAAATACAGGCCATCTTTAAAAGTACATACCAAAATGTATTTATTTATTTTTTAAGGATGGTATTGCCTTTAATTGCTCAAGAAAATGCCACCAGTATTCTGAGTTTGGCATGGAGGGAGTTTTCAGCCTTGGCAGAGGTGTATTTTGCTCTTATTCTTACTGTGATGTGATTTGCTGACTGAGGGTTTTTGAGAGGTGTCTGTCACAGAGACGACAGAGACGCGGGAACACAGCAAACGCCATCAGTAATCCTCGAGATTGTTACGTTTTTTTTCCTTCATAAAAACACACCTCTCTGAAATTTAGTCATCTAAGGTGTGTGGCAGTGTGAGAACAACACAGCAATTTTTGAGTTTCAAAGGTGATGACACACACTGAGCAAACCATTTTGTACACAAGCAGCCACTTGAATATTTGCAAATACCACACAGGTTTCCATTCTGCACCCACAGAAGCAGGAAACCGTCCAAAACAACATATTCAGCATGAGAACTTCCTGTGTGTGCTTCATTTAATCAGATTTTCAAAGAAAGCCAGCATGCATATGTAGCTGAAGGTTTTCACAGACTTGAACTTTTACCTCTAAATATCCTGACGCTTTTAAACTGTGGAACTGAGGCATAGGGCTGCAAAAGCACGATTTTATTAAGACTAAAACTTGATTTAACCACATGTTGCTTTTAATGCAACTCTGACTTGTCTAAGTAAGTGATCTTAAAACAGTTTGACATTGCTGGGTTGGGCCGTTCTCATAAAATACTCTATCAAAGTCCTGAGCCAACCCTCATTTCTCTATAATTTGCTTCCAAAGGGCTTTTAAAGTGCTGGAAAGCATCGGATTAAGAACAGCTTTATTTTCAAGCATGTGAATAATCCCAAACACACTGCTAATGCAGTAAAATCATACCTGGATAGAAAAACAAACAGTGGAACACTATCAGTCATGGATCGGCCTCCCCAGAGCTCGGACATCAACATTATTAAAGCAGTGTGGGATCATGTTGACAGAGAACAGAACAAAAGGCAGAAACATCCAAAGAAGAGCTTTGACTGTCCTTCAAGAAGCCTGCAGAACTATTCCTTCTATCATGTCCAAATTCAACTCTGCTGTCTAGCAGAAGGTTTCAGAGCACTTTATCATTCTGTTGGCAACCTTCATGAAGTTGCCAGTTCAGTCTTCCAGCAGGATTTAGCACCTGTGTGTGAAAACCTACATGAGGAGCTTTGGCACTCACTGGAATTTCTCATCCGAGAAGTAAACAAGAGGCATCCAAAAAATCCCAGCTTTCACAAAATCTTGTTACTGCTTGTCTCAAACTCAAACTGTTCCCTGTCACGAATGACTTCACATCACTAACTTGTGTAGTTTGGATGAGTGGACAGCAAAGTTTTGAAAAGATTCAGTGCAAAACACCAACTTGATGATACAAAATACATCACGTGTTTGTAGATCATTTATGAATTACAGACTTGTTTTTAAAACCATCAGGTCTTCGGTTAAAATGCTTACGGTTAAGAAAAACTTGACTCCTTTGAGAGACAGACGCAAATAGCTGTCAGCTCACCGTAATGTCTCCTTTATGACGGCCTTCAGGAAGGGCATCCTGCTCAGGTCATCCATGGTTGGCTCCCGCTTGTCTGGGCAAACCGAATTCACCTCGCTGTAAAGTCGATCCTGAGCCCTGCTGTCTCTCGCTAAGTGATACAAAGCCCACGACAAGGTGTTGGACGTCTGGAGTCAGGTGGGAGAAAAATGGAAGAGGTTGAGTAGATACGTAGGTAAAAATCAGAGGTAAAAACATCACAAAAAACGTAAAACGATTATTACTGTGCAAGTTATTGATGTACATCAATGCTTACAACACAAAAAACACTATAGTGTCTCTCTGTGATGTTTACTCAGCATTTGCAGGGATCATTTTTCTTTCCCATCCTGCTAAAATAATTCCTTTTGACTCTGTGTGCACCTCCTTCACACTCCTGAGCTCAGCAGCTGGGTGGCACAAACTATCTGAACTGAACTAAAAAGAAAACTCCAGTCTAAACACACAGCATGAGGTTAGCTTCTAATACCTGAAAGTGTAAACAGGGAGGCATTATGAGAAACTACTGCACTATAAGACCTGAAATCTGTGAATGTTTGTGTAGGTTCTCAGTTCACAGTAGTCTTAAGGGCCTGAAATACACACAGGAGAAACCAAAAAACCAAACCACATACCCACGGCACAACACAGCACGAGACTTGGCCATACATCTGCACTTACAGGAGAAAGGATATTCCGGTCTTCAGATCCCTTCTCAGGCGATTTAAACGCCACTCATGCCTTAACCCGTGTAACCTAATAGCTCACATAATGACAGGATAGGGCAATTTTCACAGAGGATCCACACCTTGACCCCTGTGATGGTAATGTCCCATGTCATGGACCACACCTTGGCTCATGTGACCCAAAGTAACTCTCTTGACTTGAAGGCTCAACTCTCAGTACCACCTACATTAAATTACTCTGCATAAGATTTTATTACCCTCTTAGGTGAGGGGTGAAACATTTGTGTTCTGAGAAAGGACACGCAGAGGCTTTTCTGCTATTGGCAGGTTTTCTTATGGCCTGATCTCTTTAGAAATGTTACTAAAACAATGAATAAGCTCACTATAAATGTAATATTCTAACATCCTTGTATTGAGACTCTCCCCTCTATGCACTGCTTTGCATTAGCTTCAGTTCAATAAACATCTGCTCTGTTACATTCAAATAATAGTATACTTTAAATATTTCTGGCTTGCCTTTGTTACATTCACATACATGCTGGGTCAGACTACATCTCTCTCCCTGATTCAGCAGCAATCACTGACATCAGAAGCAAAATAAGCAATTTAAGTTTCACACTCCAAGGCCGAGGCAAACGGCTCCGCTTCACTCATGACGTCAAATTCAACTCAGTATGACATAAGATTAATGGGATTCAACACGACACTCCCCAATAATCATTGTCTGGCACATTCATACACCCTAAAGGCACGTCCTTGCAACACACACTCACACACCCCAATAAACAGGTTCCCTCCCTTATCATTGTTGTTACCATTGTAGACACCATACTGAAGCCAACTCAAACTCAACTCAAAGGACTTTTTGGCCTCTATTGGTGCACTCCTGAATAGATCTGAAGTTGGAATTGCCAAATTCCCAGTAAGCATTTGAATCAGCAGAGTCTGCTCAACTCCGATTTCCCACTCACAAAGTTGGACCACCCAAGAAACTGCATTCTAAAAAGTACTCATGTTTTGGGGGGCTCTTTAGCCTTTACTTCACTAGAACGTTGAAGATAAGAAAGAAGTGCAAACAGAGAAAGGCACACAGTAAAAACCAGAAAAACAATTATTTCTAGTCTTCTGGAATTTTCTTTCCCATCTGTGAGCACACACAATCAATGTTTCAGGAACAGACACATCTTATCTGAAAACCCAAAGTCACTATCTCCTCACCACATTTTCATCTCGTTCACCATCCCTTTTATCTTAAAAAGAAGATGGCTTGATTGAAAGCTATCTTCTTCACTTGATTTAAAAATAGAAAAGACTATTTTAAAGGATGAATCATGAAATTTGCTGTATGTGAAAAGGAAACTTCTTAAAATAATGGACCCTATCTTCCTTCCTTTTAAGTTAACCTTAAGCCTGTTACTTTTCCTCTATCACGAGCACAGCGTACAAATACTGACTAAACATTGTGAGCTTTATCTTTGCCCACCTTGGATAACCAAGATGTCCAGATTACGCAAACTTCCAACTTGTAGCTTGTGGCAAAGGATGGGGACAAGCCTGAACCTCACCAGGGAATGCCGCCAAACGGGCTCTGTGACAGCTTGCTGTACGTGCCGTACCAGATGTGATCCATACTGGGCTTGTGTTTGTGTTGAATACCAGAGGTTTTGATTCCCTCAGGCAAAACTGAAACAATTTTGCTGTAAGTAATGTGTGTTCGCTTCTCACATAAAAACATTGCTGGGGTAAAACAAAAACAAATCACTGCTGCTGGTTTTCTCACCATTAAATCTAACTGACTGATTGCAGTCAGTCCAGGCCGCCGGTTTCTGTCGACCCGTGTCAAGAGGACACAGAGATGGAAATCTAGTGCTATTGTGAATCAAAGCTTACATGGTTGTGGTGAAGGTGGAGGTTGAGTGAGAGGCTGAAAAGCTTGAGTCAGACTGAAGTCAAGACAAACAAGTCCACACCTTGAATTTTGTGTGCTAAATGAGCTATGGCAGTCTTTTAGGTTCTCTACATGAGCAACACAGAGCTTATCTGTAACTTCTTTGTTGTTCGTTGCACATAAGATGCCAACATGTTTGGAAAAGGTTTGTTTATTTTGCAATGTAACGTAATATGGATGAATAACCGCTTTCCTCACTCAACTGCCTAGAGACAGTTGAGTGAGTTTAACAATGAGTCCACACAGGAAAATAAAATAAAGGTTCAGCTAGCAGATTCAGTGTCGAATAAGGCACAAATAATTGTGTTGCTGAGGTTTGTAGGTCACATGTCGCAGACCCTGTTTCTTAAAGAGTTTGCACACTGGCAACAAACACCTCTTAGAGCTAATGACGTTAAAAGTGGTCAGTAACACGATCTTTTAAAAAAGGAGAATCAGAGGGGCCGAGTCATTTTAGAAGTAAAGGTAGGAAGAGGATTATCACTCTAAGAAACCTTCCACAGCATAAGAGTGTTAAAAAAGGATGGAATTTATCATCTAAGTCCATAATCTTATTAAAAAATGAATAAAATCCAGACACATTTGTTTATTAATAATAATAATAACTTACTGGACAAGATGAGCTTTGAATATCTTTGCCATCATTGCCTGTCAAGGAGTAAAATTCCAGTCTTCTAGAATACAGCCTTGGGGGGGGG